GGGGTTTTTGTCAAAGATGGTCAAATTGACCAAATTGGACCAATGTGTAGTTAGACAAAATGAAATTGGGAATATTTTGGATTTATTGGGATTTTTTAGGAATTTTTGGAATTTTTGGATTTTGGGTCATGGAGGGGTATCTTGGTAATTTGGCTATTTTTGTCAGTTTTGGCAAATTTTGATGTATTCAAAGTGTTTGAAATGAGTTTTGATCAATTTTGGGTATTTTGGCAAAATTTGGGAATTTTGGCCAAATTTGGGTCCCAAGGGCAGTTAGGTAATTTGGAGGTGCTTAGGGGCAAAAGACCAAGTTAGGCATTTCTCATAGAATTTGATAGATATCCATTCTAAATGAACCATGGATTAATGTATTGTAAAGATATGGTGTAACCTAGTTCCAAGTCAACACCCAGGGTCAATCCTAAAGCCAAGTAATCCTATAGGGACTCTTCTTGAATTCTCTCATAATGATCTTACCTACTAAATGCTAGAGGTTAAGGTCAATATGTGGAACTTTAAGTTGAGTAAAGAGATGAGTTTTGAATTTCTAATGATGAGGGTACCTTTTCTAGTTTTCTAAGACTAGTCAATAAAAAAATCCTATGGCTAGACCTAGGCTACTTGAAGAAGTTCCTAGACCTCAACCAAAAGTGAGTTCAACACCAATCCGTAAGCATATACACTTGCAACAGCTCATAATAAACAACTATGGATGTACCTGTGATAGGAATTTGTATATCAGCTTCCACAAAAACCTACAACACTCCTATAGCCACCAATCAAATCCTAAACTATATCAACCAATTCTTATGCATTTAGAGATCAAAGACATCATGAAAGAGATCATAATTCGTATGCATGTATTATGCATACCAACCAACTGCAATAGTATGCATTCCAACCAACATTAATGGATCACTTGGGTTGTATGCATATGTATTAATGGACCTTTGCATACATACCACCCAATTCATAACATATTTACATATCCAATATCTAAATCCAATTCAATAGTGATAGGTAAGAAGTGATATGTGTACATAACAATCAATTATGATGCATATACACATGAAACCCAAACCCCACCAATCTTATGCACGACTACAGCTGCACACTACTTCCAAAAAAACCTACAACACTACTATAGTGTGCAAAACATCACCAACGAATTCTTATGCATTTACCCATAAAATATCACTTGCAAAAGTACCCAAAAGCTTTGAAGACGAAACATGGTATCAAATATATCATCTTAATAAGGCTAATGGGAAGTAGTAATCTCACAAAAGAGTGAATTTATATTATGAGATTGAGCCTATAATGGAGCATTAAGCTTGGCCATAGATGCTAACAAATGTTATTACTTACCCACCAAGGCCATATGAATAGATGTTAATACTTAACCACCAAGGACACAAATGCTAATATATGTCAATGCTTGGCTCGATAGATACTGGAGCATTAAGCTTGGTCATAAATGCTGATGCTTACATGATTATGCCCCACGGATGGTGCATTGGACATCCTAAGCGATCATTGAGCTTACAGTGTAGGCTAACAACTTTAAAAAAAAAAAGCCAATTACTTTAAAAATGATAAGAAGCATTGAATTTAAGGGCCTTGTTATGCAGGAATAAAATAACCACATCACCAACTGCCTGCAACCATACACTAAAAACTTAAGAGCAAGCATAATAATATCCAAACTGCCCTACAACCATTAACTAAAGAAGCATTCGAACATGCAAATATCCAAACAGTTGAAGAGCAAGCATAATAAGATCCAAACTGCCCTCTAATCATTCACTGAACAAGCATTGAAACATGCATAGAACGAAATAGCTGAAGAACAAGCATTGTTGAAACTGCCCTGCAACCATTCAAGAAGAAACTACTCATTCAAACATGCTCCCACCAAGGCCAATTGCACAACAAGCATAACCTGCTATCTTGACAAATCCAACCAAAGAAACAAACTGAAATGACAAGACAAATACACCAACACAACAACCTAATGAAATTGCAACTGGGAGTGAAAATTTGAGAAAAGAAGAAGGAACAAATTGAAATGCCAAACACATTCTAAAAACGAGTGAATTGCACACAACAAATCATTCAAAAGCCCAACATTACCCGAGGAAATCCATCGAATGAAATCCAACTGCAAGAGCACTCACTAAAGAAAATAATTATATGCAATACTTATAGATCGACCGTAATGAGAGGGAAGGAAATAAGAGGCTTAGGAGCAGTTAGGAGTCGAATCGAGCACGAGAGCTCGAGAGCTTGAGAGCTTGAGGGATTCGGGATCACCTTAGGGCAGAGGAGAAAAAGGGTAGCCAGGTAGCACAACGAACAAACGCAGACCGCGGGGTCAGATCCCACAGTCGCGTATCATATTCATTCGAAATGTGGCATTACGAAAATGACGCCCAAATACATTAATCAAATGTGTAGGCGGCGTTTTCATAATGCAGCCACACAAAAAATGTGCCCCCAAAGGTACTCTTAATTATATTAAGCCGAATGTAGTATTTTTTCAAGGGGGACTCTTTCCATTGATTACGCTAACGAACAATGTTAATGGTCCGTTTATGGCAGCTTATTTGGTGCGGTGATGTTTTGAAACACACCTAAACTGTTTGGGTAAACTGTGATTTGATAGCTTATGCATTTTCAAAACGTTGAAATGTTTAGGATGATAGTTTTCTGGCTACAGTGTGACTTTTTCGAAAGATAAAAAATTTATAATAACTAACGCAAGTTTATTAACAGATTAATCAACCTAAGAAAAATTTAAAATCAATCATTACCCGGACGAACTCGACGACGAGCAGGGGAGGGTTTTAGATCGAACTTTCCAGGATTAGGGTTTTGGTTGTCGCCATGGATCACCGTAACAAGCGCAGGCGAGACGAGGAAGCGGGGGTTCTTCCTCTGGTTACTGAGAATGGCGACTTCCATGGAGTAAGCGGTTCCGGTGTAATCGATCTGTCCCTTCTTGAAGCTGTGGAGAGCTCCCACAACGGCGGCGTGGAGGTCCTTGACATTAGGACCATGAAGAAGCTCGTCCTATCCTTCGAACGCCGACTCCGTGATAACCTTGAGGCCCGCATGAAGTACCCTGAACAGCCGGATAAGTTCGCCGACTCGGAAGTCGAGCTCCACGAGGAGATTGAACGACTCAAGATCCTCGCTGGAGGCCCTGAACTTTATCCCGAGCTCGTTGCTCTCAACACAGTTCCCTCTATAGTCGATCTGCTCGGCCATGACAACATCGATATCGCCATCGACGTGGTAGGCCTCCTCATGGATCTCACAGACGAAGATGTTCTCGAGGATAACGATGAGCCAGCTCGTATCCTGGTTGACGCCCTAATTGAGAACAGCGCTCTGGAGCTTCTCGTCCAGAACATCAGCCGCCTTTCCGAGGTTGATCCAGACGAGACTGCCGCCATATACAATACGCTGGCCACCATCGAGAACATGATCGAGGTAAAGCCTGCAGTGGCGGAGCTCGTTTGTGAGCGGACAAAGCTGTTGAGGTGGCTTCTGGGGAGGATTAAGATACGAGAGTTTGATGGCAACAAGCAGTACGCTTCAGAGATATTGGCCATTCTACTGCAGAACAGCACTGCGAACCAGAAGAGATTAGGTCAGATGAACGGTGTGGATGGGGTGTTGCAGGCTGTGGCGTTGTACAAGTCCAGGGATCCGAAAAGCTCAGATGAGGAAGAGATGCTGGAGAATCTATTTGATTGCCTGTGTTGCTTGTTGATGCCAGTGGAGAACAAAGAGAGGTTCATCAAATCTGAAGGAGTGGAGCTAATGATCATCATCATGAAACAGAAGAAGTCGGCCTATGGCTCTGCCATTAGAGCCCTTGATTTTGCAATGACCAATTATCCTCCTGCCTGTGAGCGTTTCGTGGATGTACTTGGGCTGAAGACAGCATTTGCAGCGTTCATGGGTAAGGCAAGTCCTCACGTTCTGCTTTCATTTTCAGAAATTTGATTTAAGCTGAAATTTTTTGTCACTCCTGTAACAAAATATCTGAAAATTAAAGCATGCATGCCATGCAACGACTTGGGCAAATAAAATCTAAGTCTGAACACTTATTTTAAACTTTTCCATTCTGCAACTAACTCCATGTTTCTTGCGGGTTCTCTTTGTTTGAAACTTATGTGTAGCAGTCGAGTGCTATTTTTGTAGTGATTGGGAAAAAAATGTTCTTTTTGATGCTGGTATTAAGAACAATTAAGGCTTTTATGAACTCTTAGTTTAGAAGAAAATTGTTGGGATTTGTGTTTTGAATTTCAAAGCTAAAGCATTCAAATTATTATTTTTTTCATCTTTATTTCCTTCAGTAGCATTTTGTGAACTATTTATAGTTTAGCTTAAGGATCTTCGTCCTTTATTCATCAGCATAGAACAATGCATGTTTGTGAATTTGTAGAGTCATGCTGCACTACTCATCATGTTACCTTTGGTTTAAAATTTATCCCTTCATAGCTTTTTCATCTGATACATAGACCTAGACCATTAAGTCCATGTTTCATGCATTATATTCAGCTGATATTACTTTTTCTTTCATTTTGTATTATCAACCTTTCATTCTTTATCCTTTCTAGTTTAACCACATGTTCACCTCAATATTCTTAATTTTGCAACTCTTTTGGCTATTATTTAATTATTTCTCTTTATCTATACAACAAAATTGATGAAATTATTGTTGAATAAACTTTTCTCATAAGTTTTCCGATATATTTTTTGGCTTTTCTACATTTTGGCTACCTTACTTATGCCAGAAGTTGTATCCTCATTTATATTATACGTCTAATGTTTGATAGATTTAAGGTTGCACACAATTAAATACCATCTTGTCTTTTAGATTATTGACTGATTTAACAACAAAGACCACGATCACTCAAACTAGGCTTGAATCTAGTGGTGGTCCTGGTGGTTGACAAAGGCTTGGAAGGCGGCAGAGTGGTGGACGAGGTGGTTGGCAAACAAAAAACCGCACAACGTTGGTTTCCAATGGTTAGGGATGAAAGCAATCGACAGGGATCCATGCTGGAGGGCTCTCCTGCATGATGGAAGCAAAAATGCTACTGTTCCAAAGCAGCAACAACAACAGTAACAACAACAACAAGAGTGCTGCTGGTTTTGGGTGTCAGCAGCAAGGTGGAATGGGAGAAGCGAGGGTTCTGGATGGCGACAACAAGTTGGAAAGGGGAGGGCACTGTTTTTGAAGGCGGCAAACAAGGTGAGAGGAATGATGGCTGCTGGCAGCGGAGAATTGCATTGAAGACAACCACAGAAAGCTGTCTGGCCGGCTCCCGGGGAAGATGACAATGACAATGAAGGGATGGTTGCAGAGAAGTTGGGACGGAATAACCACCATTTGATGATCAAGATACAATTGATGCACCGCCTGGAATCCCAGGGTACATCACTCGAAGGGAAGATACCTTGACGGCTGTCTCGATACAAAACACATGAAAAATTGTTGAATCTAAAACGCAAGAATCACATATTTAAGCCCTAGATAACTAGGATTAGATCCCTCTATGGAATAGAGGTGCCAATCTCTCGTGGAAGAGCTGACTGCCCTCTTGGGTCTTGACTGGTTTGGCCTAGACGAAGGAAATCATGAAAGATAGCGCGAATCCCTTTACGCCGCTCTCGGGGCTTCACAGGCGTGCCCGCCTCAATATAAGGACATAGTTAATGAATATTCATGACATTATCAATAAGTTCTTTTTTCTTAATTAAGAAACTATTTATAAACTTACAAAAATTAAATATATTGGGGCTAATTTAAATGAATATAAGATGAAACTTTAGATCATATAAATTTTCTGAAGTCAGAAGTGTTATGTTTTTGAATACAAATGATTTATGCACATTATTGTAAATTAAATATTAAATAAAATAATTCTATGCATATAAATAAATATTGAAGAAATCAAATTATTATAATATTAAGCCAATCAAATTCCTAAAAATTATGAAATCATTTTAATAATATCTAAAATATATTTTTAAAAAATAACAATAAATCTAATTAATTTTATTTTTGTGTTCATTATTCTTGAGAGCTTTGGTATCTTAATTAATTTAGATTGTAATATTCTAAATACACGTAGAGCTTAATAACCTTAATCGTGAAATTGGTTTGAGCTTTATTGAGAAATGTATCCCGAGCTCATCTACAAGGACCAAAGGCCCAAGCAAGTCTGGTGAACATCATTATTATCACCATGTTTGCTATGAACTAATTAACCTAAATGAAAATATTTTTAAAACCATTAGATGATACCACACAAAGTTTGTAGCATCACTTTCATTTAGGTTCATGGGGTCAATATGGTTAGGGAGTTTAAACTGTGGGGTTGTGGAAGGCTGGTTTGATGGTTGTGGGGAGGATGCTAGAAAAATGGTAGGAGCTGTGGTGGCTTGAATAGAGGCATAATGGTGATTTAAAGGCAATATAATTCATGAATTGACCAAAAGATATCGTTTCATTTTGAATGAGCCACCAATTAGTCACATCTTAGTCTCTTAGGCTCATGGGTTCAACATGTTATGGAGTTTATATTGTAGGGTGGGAGAAGGTTGGTGTGGTGGCTGGGGGGAGCTTGCTAAAATAGTAGTAGCTGTACTGGTTTGGACAGAGGCATAATGGTGATTTAAAAGGAATATAGAGCATAAATGTGCAATAGGGCAACGGTTCATTATGCATTGATTCACAAATGCTGCCTACAAGTTTGCGTGGAAAATGCATAAAGGGAAACCACACCCATTATAACGTGCTGCAGGTTCAGGACCATTTAGAATACAAATGAGATGCAACTTAAGCATTTAGAGGCTAGTAACAATTTTACTTCCAATGACATTAAATATCACAGCACTGGTATAGCACTGCCATTACTCACAGGATAGCTTCATCTTTTGCCCTGACAGTTTTGAATGAGAAGACAACATTAACTTGTGCTTGATTGATCATATTCGGAGTCAAGCAGTCAATTCCCACTTCAAATTTCTATTCCTTGGGCGTAAATAGAGAATGAAAGCAACATAAAATGGCACATTACTAGTCCTGCATGTTCAATGCAGCCATTTCAATTGTTTACAAGATGGACTCATCTTCTTCCATAGAAGTTTTGATTCAGCAGAAAGCTTTTACTTGTCCACTGAGTTATTATGTTTAGGAGCAAGCTATCAACTTTTAGTTCATGTTTCTATTCCTTGGGTGTAAATCGACAATGGCTTTTAGTTCAAGTTTCTATCTCTTGGGTGTAAATCGACAGTGAAAGATAGCCATATCTATATTGCAAGAGTTGAAATCTTTACAATCAACCTTAACTCATTTTCTCATATGATATTTTCTTACACTTTTGTTGATTAGTTACTATCACGTTATGCTCTCACGGGGATATAATATATGGATCTTTTATGATGTTGGCAAGGCAACGCGAACAATTCTGTAAATGCTCGACTGTGTATTCGTTAAGTTTTGTAATCATATGTTTTTGTTGCTTGCAAGGTTTAGCAAATTTGTGATGTATTTATTTTAAAAATGCTGAATTTGGTAAAACTGCATGGTAAAAAAATTCATTGAAAAAATGAAAATGATTGTTTTCTTACATGTTTTTTTGGTGAAGATATCTCAGAATAAGTGGTGAATGCCACCATTTGCAGTAAAAAAAAATGGCATTTTTGAAATTTTGAATGAGAAAGGAGAGAGAGATTTTATGATCGACTCTTATTCTATTATTCATATAAAAAAGAAACTGCACCTAAATATGCGAAGAAACAACTATTTGATAAATCAATATCTCTGAAAAATTAGGTTTAAATTCTAGAAGCTAGGATTAGCTACACAACAAAAAATGGAAAGATGCTTCAGATTTTTGAATTGATGTGGATGGAAAGCTGCAGTTTCAGACTCTAAAAGATAACTTTGATCATTGATTTCAAATGGTCTGAAAACTGTTCCTACATTCCTGGTAATATTTTATCATGAGCGTTGTTAAATCGACATGGAGTGTGCTGTGCCAGATATTTGGTACAACCATTTCTCCAGCATTTTTTTGAGGTGTTAACTTGGAGGTTTATCCATCCATGTGTATCTGTTGTTTTAATTTATAATTACTGTCCTGTCTGCACTTATATGAGGAAGCTGAGATGTTTAGAGACTTGTCAAGCAGCACAGGGATTGCTTGCTATACAATTTATTGATTTAAATAGTCACATGCATAGCCATTTGATCATTCTTTTTACTTCTGCTGATTTCAATGTCGCATTACTGCTTCAATTGCGGTCACTCTTAGCACGAGGAATTTTTCTTCTAGCTGTGCTGCTATTCTAGCACATATAAAATGAACCAAAATTGCTCTGCTTATTGGCATCATTTTCAACATTTACTGTAAACTTATTCAGGCTGATTTGCCTGATTAAAGTCTGCAGCAATCCCCCCCGGAATGTCTAGCCTGAGATTCTGTTGAAAGAATTGTGTTAGTATTGATTCACTTGTTATAATAAGAAATGATTATGTTTTCTTGATATTATTTGTCTTTTGCAATGAGAAAGAATCCTTGACTATGGGCATATTTGAGATTTTGTTGAGCTGAATGATGATGATTTGTGTCATGATTATATGTTTGTTGTCTAGTATAATTATTCAGTACTTCAATGTGTAATTTTTATGCTCAATTCAGATTCCTCTTAGCAAGAAAAACAAGAAGGAGAGCTACCAAGAGGAGCTAGAAGAGCGTATCATTTCTCTAATCGCATCGTTATTTGGTAAGAAGGCAAGTGAACATGAAATTTTAGTATTGCTATCTAACATGATGTGCCAAAAAATTGCTGCTCTATTTTTCTTTCAGCTATTTCGGATTAAGCAACACTATTCCTTTTAATTCTAACATAGCTGCATAGTTTCATAATCAGTAATTGCATTGTCAGAGCTCTATGAATATAACTATGGAAGAAAAAGTGAACTTTTTAAAAAACACGGGTTTCTAAAGTTTTTAAATTTTTTTTTTTTAGTTATTAAAGTACATAGTTTGTTGGATTTGGATTTCTTGAGCCTTTTTTTTTGGGTTAAAACTCCACATTTTTGTTCAGCATATAGATTTCCAACAATAAGGAGTTATTTGATCGGCTAGGGTTTAATTCATTGCATTGGTTTTATCCATTCATTCATTCTTGGCATGTTTATGAGAATAATTTGTGCGATATTCATGCTAGCATGATTACTTAATATGGTGATCATTTGAATAATGTTTAAAATTGTGCAACTCAGTACTGAGGCGTTTTTTATTTGTGAGGTGAGGCATAAGAGTTGAGGCTATATGAGTTGTAAGCTTAAAATTTGAAAATTGTGTAGCCAAAATAAATGGGTAAAAATATGTAATAGCATCATAATTTATAAATATAAGTAAAATGTAATAATTATAAGTAAAACATATTTACATTATAACATGATAAAAAGTGATAAATTGCACAAAATATATAAGGCATAAGATAAGTTTAGTATAAAATACTTCACTCCCATTGTCACCAACATAATATCATCCATTGTTGTAAATAAGATAAAACATAATTAAAAGTCCTCGACACTTTCATCACTTAAGAGGTCTTAATTGGAATCATAATCATAATGTGTAGCTTTATCCCCCGCCTTTTCGTTAGTTGAGTTTAAGTTTTCTCATTCTTCTTCTTCTTCTTCAACCTCACGTATTTTTTTTCTCTTATCCAGTTATGAAAGATTAATCAATTAAAAAGCTAAAAATTAACGTTCAAGAAAATTTCAAATACTTTAGTTTTTAATAATATATATATTTTTTATCTCTTCTTGTTTAGTGTACTACCTTTGTTTGTGTCACCGTTAAAGAAAACCTTTGTTTGTGTCACCGTTAAAGAAATCAATATTCAGATTTCTTTTTCTAACTCCGTTGGTGTGACCATATTATCCTTATCTACAAACAACTTATCATCAGATGGCATTTTTTCACATAAAAGAGGAGCCTCATTATCCTTCAACCTTTTTTTTTAATTTCTATCATTCAATTTTTTATTGTACATGATACACCAAATAACTCATCATAGTGGTTGTTAGACAATTTTTTTTTTGTATGAACTTAATTATACGTGCTCCAATTATGCTCACATCCAGATGATGAACATGTAAGTCCTAGTACTTTAATGGCAAAATGTGGGAGCTCTGGCGTATCATCACCAAATCGAATCCACATGTAAGAAAATTATGTAATTAAAAATAAAAAAATAGTGCTAAGATATTCAACAATTGTTTCAAAGAATAAATTGGATATTAAATTTTTACCTTGGTAGCAATTTGTAATAGTATAGTTGGCTATGTTGCACAGATACAGAGACAAATCTATTGATGAAAATATATGACATGAAAATGTTTCAGACACACCTTTATAATACAATTATTAATATATATAATTTAATGGATAAAATATAAAAAATAATACACAAGAGTAAATAAGAAATTTAATAACACTAACTTTTTAAATTAAAAGCTTGTTTGATTTCACCTTTATTTCCTTTTAAGTTAATATACTTTTTACATATTTTATTTTTTATTTCTTAAAAATAAATTAAATCTTATGTAAAAATAATCAAAATGTATAGAAGATATTTTGAGAGTTTTTAAAAAGAACTATCTCAATCAAACATTTTTTATTTAAATCAAAATATATAAAAGAAAACAAAGATAATCCCAACCGACTCTTAAGATGCTCATAGATAATTATTTAGCTTAAGATATTAAAAAACAAGCATATATTATTTTTTATTACATCAATATTTAATTCCTCTTATTCAATTATTCATTAATAGAAATAAAAAGATCACTTGCTTTTTTGACATCGAATTCTTGTGTATTTACATATCTAGCACCTAAATTTTGATTTTCATATTTATGTTGGCCAAATATTTCATATCACATCTAATATATCATTATTTTCAATTTTAAAAAGTGAAATACACAGACAAAATATATGTAAAAATTGAAATTTTTGTTCTCATCATATTGAAAATTTTCACTAATAATGTCCCAAATTTATTTTTAAGTGCCCTCTTCTCTTCCTAGTACATTCCTAGATTATTTACTATTAACTTTTCGGTCTCATCCATTGCAAGCTTCTTCTCTCCATCCATTATCCTCAAGACTTTTGTACTAATGGCCTAGTGGTTGCTAATGCATATGTGACACTAGCCCAAAAATATTTCATTTAAAATAGTTTTTCTAACTTGATTTCTCTCAAATTTCTTAGCCCATGAACAACTAATCCAATTAGTGAAAGTGAACATGGCCTTTAATGGTTTTAACCAAAGCAATGTGACATAAATAGAGCTTAAAATTGTTTTAATATACTTGAAGCTCCTTTTATCTATTGACCTTCAAATTTAGAAGCATCCATTGAACTTGGACTGGAACGATTTAATCTTGAACAACTCTTTTATGAGCCTAGAGCTAAAAGGTCATTATCCATTTCATCAAAATCATCTCCATCCACATCATCATGTTCATTTCATTATTTGCTCTTTTAGTTCATTCTTCAAATGCTTTGGAATTTGATTTTCAAATATTAAGGGTAGTTACCTCAAATTTTAGTGTTTTATAACTAATAATATGTTATTAATGATGCATTTCTTTTCAGAAAAAGCATATTTCAGTCAATTGATTTCATTTTCTTCGACCAAGCCAACCTGATTCCATTCTTGATATTTCTTATTTGATTAAGAAGATTGGTTTGAATTGGTTTTTTTTCCCCCTCAAAATTTTAATGGCTAATGAACATTAAAATGTGCTTTAACATCGTCACTAAATAATTAATCAAAATTTAATAAATTCACGATTTTAAACAACAATAATAAGCAAACTCCGAGCAACATTTATAAAAAAATTAGCTACCAACAGCTTTATTAGGCCAAGCGAAGTTGAAAATTTGAGAAAAAAATGCATGTCAAAGGCCATTGCAGGGCAGAAAGGATATAAATGATAAATGAATAGAGGGAAATAAAGAAGTGAAGTAGTCTGAAATGAAGAAAAATAATCATTCAACTGAATCAAAAGAAAATATACAAACACGTGAGGACATTATTTCAGGGAATTTGTTTATTGAGAAAGTAATGTCCAAACACATATGTTGTTGAGGTTTAATGAGGGTCGAAAGACTAGGGAGAGGCGAGAAGCGTATGCAAGGTTCAATAGGTGTCATTTGTGGTCATGGCTTCTCGATCTCCTATCGTTGGACTATCATGTTTTGAGGATGTTGTGATGTACCAATGTCAAAGTTTAAAATTGAGTATTAAGGCATCTTTTGTTTATGTTGCGAGGTGTAAGTTTTAAAATTAATAAATTGCACAAAGCAAGAAGTATTGCACTAAGTTCAAGATATCTAGTAAGAAGTAATATATTAAGATTCCAACCTAATAATAGTTTAAAATGTAACATATTAGCATCTTAATATGGTTAAAAGTAATAAATTATTTAAATAATAAGTATCATGTTAGGAGATTGAATTATAAAATAAGAAGGGTTATACAAACAATAAAGTAAGACTAACTAACATTACATATCAAAATAAGTTCGATACGATTAATTTGTCTGACACTCCTACTTTTATCTGTCAAAGAATATAACAAAACTCTAAGATTAGAATTTCTAAATTCAAATGTCCCATCACTATTATCTCTTTATGAGCCTTTGTTAGGATCATCAAAATATTCTTTCATTTCTCATCTTAAATCTCAATGTTAATTAATAAAAATATTTATTAAAATTTAAAGTAATGGCTTTTTTGATAAAAAAGCGTTAATTCCATCCTCAGTTGTGCATTATATGGGTACCAAGGAATATTTATAAGGTTTATTTTGCTTTTATTTATTTTAAAAAAATCCTAGACTTAATTGCCTGTGCCTCTTTTGAACTGAGATGAGATACACATTGAGGCGGCTCTCACATTATGTGAGGCATAAGCCTCATGCAATTCCCTGGATGTAAGCAGTGCTGCAATTTTTTCAAAAAAAGTGCTGAAGCAGGCCTTTCTTTGCACAGTTGTAAATATTTCTTGATGTGGCTACACAACATGGTGCCAGGAGGATTTGTCGAGCTGTGTACAGAAATTGAATGGTCCTGTTTTCTTGTATGGCTGGAGGGAGCGACTTTAAAAAAAAAAATGAAGTGATTTTAAAATAACACATAGTTAAGACCATAAATCTTAAATATCTACCAAAATAAAAATAAAAAATAAAACATGGAGTCAAACAAAATAATGCACGCTATTTGTGTTATGCCATGGTTGATTTTATTTATTTTTGTGCCTTGCAATGACAAATGCATAATAGGTTCAACTCACCATGCAATGAGCTATAATAAGCACTGTTTTATGCTATTGGTAAGTATTTTTGAAACACTCTATGGTTATTCATGTAACTGATTTTTATTAGTATCAAAAAGAACTTGCAGGTCATTAGTCTCTAATGAAAAGTTTGAGACATGCAACAAAAAATTTTGTTTGATTTTTTCAATAATTTGAATATTCGAAAGCTAGTTTTCATGAGTAGATAAATAAATTCAAAAATTAGGTGATGATATCAGTCTGTCTTATTGAAAATTGGGCTGGTTTTAGATGGAGAAAATGAATATATTCTAGGGAACAATTACTTTTGTATCTTATGGTGCAGTTATAAATAAAAAAGGTTGAGGTTAGGGTAGAAGTGAATGGTGTTGCTCAACCAAGGGAAATAGTAATGGATTCAGCAAA